AACATTATTAAATTCCAAATTAATTGATGGTTTTAAAAAGACAATATAAATATTACATGAGAAAAACAGGATCAAAGAGATTTATTAAAAATATTAAGATATTCAAAGCTAACAATTTAATTGCTTTCTGACAAATCATTAATGGGCAAATGAAAACTTATGGAAATAAACTGGATAGTACAATACCTGCCAAATCTTTTTAGTGTTGATCCAAAGTATTAGGTTTGTTGTAGGATATCATAGATCTTTATACCCCTATGATCCCAGGAGACATCTTCAGCAATTATTACATTAATCAGTGAAAAAATAGAAATAAAATGGAGGGGCTACCACCTGAATTATTGAAAAATACCATAGATTCTGCGCCTTTGAATTTTTTTCACCCATTTTATACATGGAGCCAAGAACTGGCATTTGCTCATTATTATCCCAATATATAGATACACCCTATTCAATACATATATCTAATAAGTTCAGAGCATACATTAACTCTGGAAATCACTTGACTGGATTGTACAAAAGAAACCCATGCCAGACAAAGGAAGTTCACATTAGTTTATTGCTTCCTTCTCTAGCGTCTTATAGAAAAACATATGTTCCCGTTATTGCTATAGAGATATTTATGAAAAATTCATAAGATGCAACTTCTGCTAGAGATCATTTGTTGCTTCATTAATCCACCAGCTACATGAAAAAACACACAGATCAAATATGATAAAGAGGGGCAACTTTCTTCTGCTATACAAATATAGAAAATAATCAAGCAAGGATAGGTTTTGGAACATACATTACTCAACTTATAATTCTATAATTTGGACTCTAACTTAAAAAAAAAGTAATCAACTATCAACTCTCAGTAGTAGACCAATAGTAATTTTATTATGCAGTATGATTCAATAATTCAATAATTTCATCCATTTTCCTGTATCTGGCTAGACATACATGCACACTGGGGAGTAGTTCCAGGGATCTATTTAAGATTTGGTAAGTGGGGAATTATAATTATTTTATAGTTAAAAGAGGTCTTCTAAACGATATGTTTTTTTTGGGGGGGGGACTACCTGGTGAGTAAAACTTCATCCCAAAATATAAGAAAAGTTAACTAGCAGGTTAAAGAACTTAAATAATATAAACAAATGGCAAAAAGCTGTGTAAGAATTTAATTTAAGAAATTTTTAAATGGATTAAGGGATCAGACAAATTTGAAATATTAGGACTTTTGCTAAGATTTCTGGAAAAATTGAGTAAACAAAGGAATATTTCCATGGGAATATAAATTGTTTAGTCTACCAGGAAAGAGATTATTAGCTGAAAGTTGAAAATAAAACAACAATGAAACCTAAGACTTTACGAATACAGAAATAGGCCATTAGAGGGAAATAAAGTTCTAGGCAGAAAAATCTACAAAATGACAAATAAATGTAAGACATTTGAGACATTTCAAAGGATTTTTGAAAAACTGAGAAAGAAATTTATAACCAATCTGACAGCAATAATCTCTGTGACCAAATATATATATATATACATATTTTTTGAAGATTACAAAGAAGACGTGAAAGATGTGAGGAACAAAACTATGGAAGAATTTATGGATATGCAGGATGAAGAGGGGATACAAATCCTAGCTCATAGGGAAATGTTGGAAAATAAAGAAATTAAGGTTGGTAAAACAGAGATGACAGTCAGAGTAGAAATGCAGATGACAAATCAAGAGATAAAAAGACTTGGCCAAGGACTTATTTTTGGATTTACAAAAGAAAGTTTCTAATACTTTGGGGAAAAAAAACCCTTTGATATGGGAGAAAGAAAGTCTGCATGGAGATTCAGTCCTGCAATAACAACTTGATAAACAAGATTACGATTGTTAGAAGCAAAAGAAAGAAATATAAAGTTGGCTTGTTTGATCAGGGCTAAAATATGGAATATTTTTATAAAATTCTGGAAAATTTTTATGGACTTTTTGCTGACATTTGAACAGAAATGACAATGATTTTCGGAATTGTGAATGGGTAAGTGTGTGTGTGTATGTGTGTGTGTGTGTGTGTGGTGGCCATGGGAAGAAGTGAACCATGTATATAATCTCATAAGGGGCAGGGAACTATTAATTTCTATTAATTTGCCTGTACTTGTTGCAAAGAAGTTTGGGAGTCACTTTTTTACATATCTATGTATCTATCTATCTTTATTCTTTTCTTTTTTCTTTTCTTTTTTGCACTTTATATTTCTTTTCTGTTATTTTTCTTTTTTTCTGACATCAGTTTGTATTATCTTTTAGCATTGTAAAACTCTTTAATAAGAAGTATTTTTTTAAAAA